TAAAACTTCACCTCAACAACAGTTTTAGGTAATAACATTTTCAGACGATAAACAGCCTCCTCCCTTCAAAGATAGTTTGCTGAAAAAAGCATTTTCCCCGTGGGAAGGAATATTTCTATCGTGCATGATGTTCGAAAATAAAAGTTTTAGATCGATGGAGAGGCCTTTTAGAGTATTTAGACGGAAGGATTTGTCAAAGCATAACCTGTTCCAAAGAAATTGTTAAGAAGTTACATTTGATAAAGGGTAATTTCACGAACTGCCACATGGTAAAAAATGGACATCTTTTGGGACAAAATAGACATTAGTAATCATATTTTAATGAGTGAACGTTGCTGAAGAAGTTTTTGAGTAAATGTTATTAAGAAAGTGAAGTTTAGGTGATCGTGGCCTGGCAGGTGCTGTGAAGACAAAAATAAATCTCACTACATACAGTTACAAAATAATCATGCGATAAAACGAAACAAATGTTTATTGAGTAACGAATTGAGTAACGAGGGGATGGGGAATATGATTAATCTGATGAAAGTAAATTTTGGGTGATCAAGGATAGGAAAGGGCTCTCAAGACTAACTGTTTCCTTTGCAATCACATTTGACCTGAGGGAAAAAAAAACAGTTAAGACTAATGGCGAAAAGAAATCGAACCGGTGGTAAAGATAGAGCACAAACTTTATTCGTAGATCTTCAGTGCCCCCCTTCTTTGGAAGATGGGAAATAGCAGTAGCCTAAGTTCACTTTAACCCAAAGTTAAATCGGTTCTTTACTGCTGGAAGGTTAGTGAAGTCCGATATGTTATTGGAAAAGTTTGTAAACCCTTGGCCTGCGCCTCGTGGTTCACAAACTTTTCTCGGGTTCTCCCAACATCCTTCGTGGCTTATGAGCAGTAAAGCGATGGAAAGTGCGGTTCACTCATCAATTGTACTCTCATATTTATTCCTCCTCGCAATATGAATGCGCTGGATAAAATTTCAAAGAGTAATTTAAAAGAGGTTTTAAAGGTATTCTGCATTCGATAAAACAATTTGCACTCTTTTCTCCGGCTAATTAAAAGAAAGCGCTTGGCGTTGACACCGTATTGCCACGCGTGCTGGCAAAATAGTACAAGAGAATTGTTCTAGGTATTTGTGCCGTACTAAAAGAAATCAAATTTTTTTTGCTTTCTAAAGGAAAGCGTTTGGTTCTGACGCCATATTGCCAAGTAAGCTGATTTAGTTTTGGTCTCGAATTTGTTTGGTTATTTGTCCAACTGTTTATTAATATATATGTAAAGATGGATACAGATCCATGCATCTGTATAAAAAATAGTGGATTGAAGATGAAAAAAGGGTAAAATAATAAAAAGTGACATCTAACGAAAAGGAAAAAAATAGTTTGGTACAAGATAAAAACCTGGTCTTAAAATGAGGCCAGGTGCTAAGGTCTAGCCGTTGCAAGACAATTAATTCTCAGCCTCCTTAATTTTCGTAACACCCCCAAACTGCATGTTCCCTCGAAAATGCGCCTGTTACGCACTCTTAGTCAAAAACGTCTGGGTTGCTCTCGTTATTCCGCGGCTCAGTACCTTGTATAATTGTACAGCTGGCAGCCCCCGTACGCAGGATGAAGCGAACCCTGTGTTCTGATTGGCTACCCGAGCGGGCAAGATGAGCCCAACTTGCCCGGTCTGGATTGCCCGCTTTAATCGAAAGCAAGAGACAAGCGTGTGGAGCGGACTTAAAAATTTCGTAACTTCTGGACAACGTCTAAGATAAAAACGCAAAAAGTGGCAGAGGACAGTCAAAACAAAGCTAAAGTTAAACGAGCCTCTTAAGTACTAAGATTTCGTTTTACTAATCCAGACATAAAATGCTAGTTGCGACCCACATTTGATTGGCTAGTAGTTAAGCTGCAGTCGCCACTCAAAATAAGTAAAGAGAATTTGATAGAACAATTAAAGAGAACTCCTATACAATGAGAAACAATCCTATACAAGTAAGAACTCCTATACAAGAATTTAAAAAAAAAAATGCTGCATTTT